TACAATATATGATTTAATAATTACACTCAGATTGAAAATTATTGACATTTGGGGCAAGGTTCTTAGTACAATCTAATGATAGTAAAAGAAAGGACATAAATAATATCGAAACAAGAATCAACAAAACAAAATAAAAAGCAAAATTGAACCTTACCCTTTGCTCATAATCCAATGAGAATCTCATGTACCAAATGTCACATTGATGGAAATCAAACCTGAACACGAAAACTTGGTAAACATTCAAATCAAATTCTAGAATAAATATACTTTTTGTATGATTTTACACAATTATTCCCTGCTATAAGAGACTCTTGTTGTAGTTCTTGACATGAGAGTCTCTACTGCATAGAAGCATGGAAACTTGAAGTTCATTTGAAAGAGTATTTGAAAAAAACAGTACCTGTGGAGCACTTCAACACCATGGTCACTATTTCCAGTCTGAGAGGACAAAACAATAATTTACACAATTGTGAAATATATTATAAATTTGCAGTGTAAATAAATAAATAATCCATACTTTTGTTTTAATTGCATTAAAAATGCGTAAGTTTGTATTTTGATTGTCTTTCAGTTGGGCATCACAGCACCCATTCCCTGGATAGGATGGCAGGGAATCACAAAAAAGACACTAAATATCACATTACATAATATCAATGCAAAATTATTACTAAACCTATTTGAAGGCTAAATCTATCAAGGACCAAGCTCACAGTCTTTCCAATTCCTCCTTTTTAGTTTTGTCTTTGACATCTTATTGCATTTTTATGGAGACATTTGTGCACATTCTAATATACATAACATACACTTGCGTTTCGTTTAATTCTGCAGATATTCACCTTTTGCAGAATTTCTTCAAGTTTGGTGTCTGGCTTCCAACACACAACACAGTTTTCACATGACTTAAAAAAAAAGAAAAAACAAACAAACAATCAGTTCACTATAGATACATGTACATATATACAACATTTAAGAGATGTTATATTATAGTAATCTCTGATTATGATATAACTGTTTCAAAAAAAGTTGTGTTGGAGAGTCAACCAAACAAAACATCATAATAGTGATTATTGGAGGGTTTTGAGTGAAATACAGAAGTAATGGTTAATTATAATTTTATAGTGCACTTTATCATCATCATCATGAACTGCAAACATAATTACCTTTGATAAGACAAGATCACCCAGCCATCGAACACAATCAACATAATTTCTGTGAATATCTCTTGTGGTGAAGTTTGGGTAGTGGATATGGGCAGTTTTGAATGGTCTAACAATTGTAAAAGATAGATATTAGATTTATTTTGTTTGGTCCGGTATCCTAGTCATTCACGCGCTGTGAATGGCTGGCACATGGTCTGGTATTTCACAAAGTTGCACAAATAAAATTGGTTGGGAACTTAAATATATTAAAATGGTGTCTGTAATCAAAGATGCATTACTTTTTTGCAGTGTTGGCATCATATGAATAAGAACTCTTACAAGCCTAGAAAAGGAAAAGAAAACAAAAATATTATTTTTTGACACTTTTGCAATGATAGAAAAGAATATCTTGTGAATGTTGTGTATAAAATCCAATCAGACATTTATCAGAATTTTATTGCATAACTTATCAAAAGTTTATTATTTAATAAATAAACGTTTGAAAATAAATTTTAATTTTAAAACTTATAAAATGCCTTATAACTGGCATAATTTGAAAGAATCTTTATTTCAATGAAAGTGTTATTAAGAAGCTGTAAACAAAGTTTTAACCAACCTCTTTTATTGTATCAGTCTCTAAATTCCACATTTTTAATGAATGATCCATACCGCACGAGATGAGTTTAGTTCCAAGAATATCAAAGTCCTGAGGATAGGTAATCATTGTAAAAAAGTGAAATGTGTATGGGACTCCTAAAAATCGGTGGTGCTATACTGCTTATACATGTAGCTGCATATTATTGCAGGGTTCGTGCAGAATATCAAAAACGAAATTTAAGGACTTTTCAGGACCAAAATAATTTGTATTTTCATGGATCATCATAATCATGCTACATGTAATTGTACATTCTTACCTCACAACTTCAGCCGAACGGAATTCAGAGATCGCTAGCGCTTCATGAGAGAGATCTATCTTTTTCAAGGAGTTTTCAAGGACTTTTTCGAAATTTTCAAATTTTCAAGGAGTTTCAAGTGCGCTTGAAAACCAGTTTTCAATTCAAGCACTTTTCAAGGATTTAAGGACCTGCACAGACCCTGTTATTGAAACCCTTGTGTACTAGAGCGGATTTCGTATGAGTGGGACACCGTTACCGCACAATTACCGGACCTGGCCTGCAAAATTTTGGTGAACCAATGGGGCACTTAGAATTTGATTACAGTACGATTACGGTCACAGTACAGTACCGTCCGTTTCCCACTCATACGAAATCCACTCTAGTAAACACTTTACTTACACATGTACGACACTAAGAACTTCATCTCTGTGTCCATCAACACCACCAAATATGGCAATAAGAGCATCTGTTTTGACATTCCATAACCGAAGACTATGATCTAAAAGCATTATGGGAATTAAACCTAATCTCAATATGACTTATGTGTGGTACTTTCAGTCAAAGCTAGAGCGGATTTCGTAAAAGTGGGACACTGTTACCGCACGGTTACCGGACCTGGCCTGCAGAATTTTGGTGAAACAATGGGGCACTAGAATTTGGTTACAGTACGATTACGGTCACCGTACAGTACCGTCCATTTCCCACTCATACGAAATCCGCTCTAACACTATAAGCATTGGGTTTGACTACACAGTATGGATTTAGAGCAGAGTCACTTGAACCATGAAATAGAAACAAAATATTTAGTAACTAATAGGCACTATTTAGACACTATCACTGAACCAGAACAGTACAAAGAGATTGCTTTGATTGTTAAAGTGGTCTCTTGGGTATTGCTTATTGGATCAAATAAACTGTTCTGGTTCAGTGCTATAACGACTATTAGTATAAACATACTAATGGTCTATCACTCATACTGAGCTTTGATTGGCTACTCTACTAATGGTCTAATTTGTGATAGACCACTCGCGGGAAAATCAAAATAAATAAATAAATTATAAATTATTTTAATGATATTTCAATTTGTTTTCATTATTTGACCGATTAGTATGTTTATACTAAAACAATTAGACCTCTCGGCCTCGTGGACTACAAGCTAATAGCCCATTCGGCCTCACGGACTCGGTCTCATGGGCTATTAGCTAGTAGTCCACTCGACCTCGAGGTCTAATTGTTAATTAGGAACTAATAGTGACTATTAGTTAGTACTTTCTATTTTTTATTTCATGATTCATGGTTATTTCTCTGCTTTATTTAGAGTTTACCTTTGCT